AATGTACGGTGATTAACATAACAATAAAAAATTAAAAAAAAAACAGCGGCAAGGGAGTCGAGGAGCCTGAGGGGCTGGGAGAACACAGAGACCCCTCACAGTACAGGACAGACTGGGTCTGTACCAGGCTTTCCTCTGAGGGTCCTGGGGCAGGGAACGTTCCACATTCTCTTTAGATAATGCTGGATTTCGGGAGTCCTGGAGGGCTGCCTGGTATAGGCAGGCAAAGGCAGATGCAGGATTAGACTGACAGGGGCAGGACTGGAAGTGAACCCAAAGAACCAGGTAGCCAAGTGGTATGCTCAGTGTGTGGGTGTTGGGAGGGGGAGAGCGATTTGTGGGATTTGGAGTTCCCGGGCTAGAGTGGAGGTGTGCGGCCTGAGGACAGGCAGCTCTGGCCGCTTTCCGGCCAAGGGAAAGCAGGCTGCCTGGGTGCCGACACTGGACTGCCACAGGGGAGGTGGGGAGTTACGGGTGCCGTGGTGGCCGTGGGCTTCTGACCTTGCATGTGTTTAAGGGAGAGGCCCCCCTGTGGGATAAGGGTCTGCTGCCCGCAGGGGCCAACACAGCCAAGCCCCCTGGCCGTGGCCCCGGGGAGACGGCTGCCTGAACCCAGGGGCCCGGCAAAGCAACAGGCAGGCAGCTCCCACACGCCCAGGGCCTGCCTCTCCCTGGAGCCCCGCTCTTGGCCGCCCAGTCTCCCATAATTGCCTTCTAAAAATATCCTTCCCCTACCCCCACCTCCTGATTTCAAAATATTTAGTTTTCGGGATATTTAAAATGAGAGCTGGCGGCTCTTCCAGGCCCAGATAACAAAGCTAAACATTTATGCTTCAACTGCATTTCTCTGAATCGGCCCAGATCCCGGGGCTTGATATGGCAGCAGCAGGACGGAGGGGGGGCAAGTGCAAGATGGATCGTGTGCGGGCCTCCTGAGGGCTGGGGGGCAACTGGCCCACCCCCCCCAAACCTTGCAGGCCCCCTCCCTTTGTGGGGGGACCACCTACCGCTGTTGACGTGGAGCCGGCCCCGGACTGTGTCCTTCCCCAGGATGTTCTCAGCCTCGCAGACATACTCCCCAGCGTCCTCCACCTTCACCTTGTTGAACTGGAGTCGTGAGTTCTTTCTGGTTAGGGAGGGTGTAAGAGGGGGGGAGATGTGAGCCAAGGCTCAGGCTGGCTGTGGTTCCCCAGCGGTCACCCAGCGGTCACCTTTCCCTACAGAGCCACAGTGGCTGCACAGGGTGGATCAGAAGAAGATTCTGGGCTCCAGGTGGAATTCTGAGTCCCCCCCGAGCCGGAGGGAGGCCTGGGCGCTCAGGAGAGCGCGGGGTAGAGCTAGTGGCTGCCTGCATGTTCTTAATCTGTGAATCCTCCTGCCCGCTTTTCCAGGGCTGGACCTTCTTTGTAGCCTTTCTCTGGGGGAGCAAAGTGGGATCTCCTAAGGAAGTCACATGGCTACCTCTCTCCTTTCCTTTCAGGGCCCCTCCCCCAGTCCCAGTGTTCCCCTCAAAACAGGGCAGCCACTGCCTCACCAGTTACTCAGCCTTCCCTTGGGAGTGGCAGCCTGCCACTCTGGAGACGGAAGGCCCGTGCCCAGGTCCCTGGGCAGGCCCCCAAGCTAACAGGCTCCCGTGGCACCTGTGCCCAGCCGCCCAGTCCCAACCCGCGGCTCCCCCGCCTTCACCATAGCCCTGCCACTGGGGGTACTCTGTGGCTTCTCCCCGGGGCTTGAGCGTCCTTCCTTCCTTCATCCATCCATCCATCCATCCATCCATCCATCCATCCATTTAATGTTTACTGAGTGCCTTCTATGAGCTGGAAGCTTGGATCCCTCAAGGGAACAGACAGATCCTGGTCCTTACGGCCTGGCTTGACCCTCCTGGCTAACCTAGAGATGGATAGGCAGTACAGACGGGAAAACGGAGTCCTACCGGGGCTTCTGGACTTGTGCGAAGGGACCTGGCAAGACAGAGGCAGAGGTGGATGAGGAGCTGGAGCTGGTGAGGGCCCCATGGACGATTTCCCAGAGCCAGAGGCTGGGAGGCTAGCCTCCGTTTGTGAAGGGCTTTGCGCCCCATCCCTGCATGCCGAGTTGTGGGGCCAGGCCTGGGCGGGTATCATGGGCTGTGTGTGACTCCAGGGCACCAGGCCCCGGTTCCCCTCTTCTTTCCGAAGACCCTGCCAAACCTCTCCTTCCTTTCCAGGGTTTCTCTGCCCCTGCCCCAGGGTGCCTGGGCTCTGCGGGGTCTGTTCACGCCTCCCATCCCATCCCATCTCATCCTCTGGCCCAGTGCTCCTCAGGGGCCCCGGGGCCCCTCTGAGCTCTGGATAAAGCCCTAGTGGCCCAGCCTGGGCCCCAGGGGGGAACAAGAAGTAGCATGAAAACTTCCTTACATGACGTAACCTCCTCTCTTTAGTCCCAAATTAAGACACCAGATTCCCAGAATATGTGTAGCGTGTTGGAGGGGTGGTGGAACAGGAGGTAGGGTAGTCCAGCTGCCACTGTCCTAAGCCCAGGGATGAAAAATAGAGCCGTGACGCTGACAGGGGAAGGGCAGGGGAGGCGAGGCTGGGCCGCGGGTGCGGGAGCCGGAGAATTGACCCCCATCCCCCCTGGGGCTGTGCTTTGGGAACCTGTTTCCTGGGCTCACTGCTGCCTCAGGGGGCCTCTTCCCAGACCTTCTCACTCCAAGATCCTGCAAAGGAGGGTCCATGGGGTTGTCTTGTCAACAGGCCCTTGTTGCTGTGGTGATGTCCTCACCGATGTTTCGGCCACAGCTGTCTGACCGCCCCGTCCCTCCAACCCTTCCCAGCTCAAGCCAGTCTCTGTCTCCTTGGCCTGGTGTCTGCCCACAATCCCCTTCCGTCAATTCAAGTTTGTTCTCTTCATTAAACAGAGCCCTGGAGGCCCCTCTGGCTAAAACAGCATCTCCTTCCTGGCTCTGGCCGAATCCACTGCCACAAAGCCCAGCGGCCCCAGGACCAGGCTTCTCTCACTTCTTGGCCACCAGCAATTCCCTGATACTAGATGAGCAGAACAGGGGACCACCTGAGGGTCGCAGGGTCAAGGGATAGGGGGCACAGAGCCAGAAGCTCCTTGTCACCCATAGCTGAATTCACAGGAGCTCCCCTTACACCACATCCTAGGTAGCAGGAAAGGTGGAGTTAGGCTCGCAGATCTCTGGAGGGATAAAGGCTGGAAATGGGAGGAAGGCCTTCCCACAGAAGGTTGTGAGGCCTGTGGAAAGTCGGTCCAAGGCTCAGGGAGATGCCTCTCCTTTGAGGAGCTGACAAGAGGTGAGTGGACAGAAACAAGGGTGCCTCGGTTTGCTGGCTGCAGGCACCTTCGTTCTCAGCTGGGTGGTGATCTGGCCAGGGCCGGGGAGGTGGCCCCGGACTTGCAGAAGAGGTCCTGGGGTTGGAGCTGCAGGGTGGGGGCTCTCTGGGTCTCTCAGCCCTGAAGGAGCAGGGGCCGCTACGTTCTCTTGTCAGTCCTAGCTCCAGTCGGAAACCCTGAGGATTCAGGACTCTGTCCCACCTTCCTGGTAGGCCCGATGCCCGCCTGCCACACTGACTCAGGCCTGGCCCTGCAACGGATGCCCGCCCCCCAACCCAGCCAGTTTAATGCTGGCAGGGATGGGATCTGGGCGGCCGCATCCTCCACCCGCACATTTTCCTCCGTGCCTACCTCCCGCTGCCTGCCTGAGGGGCCTGTTGCAGCTTGCCCCTCATAAATAAGGGAACATGTGGTTCCGCAGGGGAGGGCCCTGTGCCCAGGGCTTGGGGGGGCTGGTTTCCTTCTGGCACAGGACGGCTTGGGCGAGACACCTCAGTGTGGCGGCCCCAGAGACAGCACCAGCTATTGGGGGAGGCGGCCTCTGTAGACCAAGAGCTAGGTCACGACGGAGTGTGGCCTGGCAGATGGAGTACTAGGGTGGCCAGAGAGCAAGCTGTAGTGTGGGCGGAAGGAAAGAGAAGATTCTGCCAGCAAGGAGACTCCTCCTCACATCCCTGGCCCCCATGCCAGGTGAAGTGTGTGTGTGTGTGTGTGTGTGTGTGTGTGTGTGTGTGTGTGTGTG